GCATTTAAGCCCGACATCGGAACAACTGCCGCGCAACTCGTTTACGGCGCCAATCTAAGATTACCGGGACAGTTTTTTAATGGCAGCCAGAACCATCGACCACAATCGGATTTCGCTAAACAGCTCGGCGATATAATGCAGGACATACGTCCAACTCAAACCGCGAACCACGACAGAACCAAAACTTTTGTATTCAGCAAATTGGTGGACGCAACGCATGTGTTCGTGCGCAACGACAAAGTGCGGCCAGCGTTCCAACCGCCATACGACGGCCCATACTCCGTAATCTCCAGACACCCAAACTATTTCACCGTCCAAATCAACAGCAAAAGAGTAAATATATCTATAGATCGACTTAAACCAGCTTTCATCGAATCACACCAATCGGATATACAATCGCCGACAATTTTAACTCAACAAAATTCAGTCCAGTCGCACATAACTTCATCACCAAGTCATAGTCCCACAGGCAATACACCAATAAATCGCCTCGGACGTAAAATAAGACTTCCCGTCCGTTTCAGAACGTAAAGTCTGGGGGAGCTCTGTGGCAAGCGGACTGAACGAAGGAGCCGATGGTAACCCTGGTGGTTACGAAAGAACGAAACAAAGGCACTCAACAAGACCGACGAGTAAATTACTTTTTATCGAATCTCCGGCGAATACACACATATTTGACCAAATCATATTTTAAAAATATTAATTAATTTTGTTAAGCGCTTTAGCTGTAGTTTTATTTTTACAACTCAATAAAGTTAGTTTAAACACCAACTAGTGATTCACTTCATCCCCATAGAAAGCATTGAGCGAATTTGAATTTTTAAAATAGCCCCGTAGCGAATGTCATGAATTAGTCACTTAAGTGTCCCGTACGGCCATATCAAGTCTTCAATGACTTTGGGCTTCGTTTACATGGAAGTCGTTCATGACTTTTTCATGCAAATGGCAATTTAGGCGTTGATGGCCTCTGCATGACTTTGCCATGCAGTGATCATTGATGACATTCAAGCGACAATGTCCTGCAATGAACTTTTTATAATTGACCGCTGCAAGACATTGTCTGTTATAAGTCTTTCATAGGAGTACACCTGCATGAAATTGTCACCAGTGTAATTGTCAGCCATATGTCGCTTAGGATTCACAGCAAGAGCGACGATGTCACCAATGAACATTTTCGCTACTGGGAGCATTGATGCTAAGATTTACATACATTCATATTTGCGAATGTATGCATGTATTAATGGGCGCGTTCATAAGTCGTAGCTGTTGGGTACAGTGTTGCCGTTTTAGCCCTTTGGTGGCTAGATTTAGCTACCACAT